TACGTCTAATGATCATTTTTTGACCGCCAAATGACATTTTTTCATTATTTTTATTAAATCTCCAGATCCTGGACTTGCCTTTCTTAAACATTTAACCATTTCTTATTCCATCAATACAAGTAAAATGTTTTTTGAATTATTCAAATCGGACGCTCCGTTATCTCAAAAACTGAATTCCCATTTTGGCAGTTTTTGCCCCGTATCTCCCAAACCGCTGCGCCTGCCTCTGCCAGAAACTAATTAGCACATCTCCTTATCAATAGAAATCGAATTTTTTTTTGAATCATTCTAATCGGTTGATCTGTGTTCACGAAATTGTGGACGAAAAATTGTATCCAAACACACACACACATACATCCACTTTTTCTAAGGTATGCCAAAATGTTCAGAAACCTTTGAAACGTAAAGATATGGAAAAAGTTTCATTTTCGATTTTTTTAGATTAATCTAACGTAACCTGCGGGAAGTTATTGAGTAATAATTTTAACGTTATAAAAAATATTATTGTTATAAAAAATATTCATTTTTCATATAAACTTTTGTAATATAATAAAAAAAAGGTTTTAGTCGAAGAAAAGCTACTTTTTACCAACAGTTTGCAGGATTAATTTTTTATGCTATTTTATTTTAATTTTACACATCATAAATTTCATCCAGATTTTAAAACACTTTAATTTTTTTGTTTCCAAAGTGAGCAAATAACTTTTGATTATTTAAATCTTGTTTTAATTTCTTTTGTCCAACACATATCTTTATCTGTTAAAAAAATATATTTCTTAAATAATGTAATTCAATGCAATACCGTAAAACTTCATCAAATTCCTATAAAAAAATTATTAAAATATCTGCAATTTACTGAGAGCTTATAAAAAAGTTTTTTGTCAAATTATTTATTTTGCTCGTGCATATTGAAAAGCAATTTTTTATAAAGAACGGAATCGTGTTTAAAATTTATATTAAAAAAAATTGTAAAAGTTTTCATTCTTAAATGTTCGTAAAGTCTAAACAAAGGTGGCTAAAAATATTCATTACTAAAAGCACTTTGTTCCTTTAAAATAACAGTTTCGAAAAAATAGAGCAAATAACTTGAAACATTTTAACGATTTTTTTAAATATTTATTCACGATTTTAAAACATTTTTTTAAATTGGTTTTTTAAATTTTATTTTATTATAAATTCTAGTAAAAATGCACTATATGAATTTATTACATAGACATCACCGTATGTATTATAAAGTCTGTATATATTATGTCTCATAAGCGTCATTTATATTAAAGTTATGACTATAAATAAAAACGTTTTTAATTAGTTTGCAATGCTATTATTAATGATTATTATAAATTTATATATACATAATATATTGATATGGAAGTAGTGTTTGTACTATAATATTTTATACATGATAGTTTTTTGTTAACCGCTTGTTCATATTTGTATGGACTGTATTTATAATATTTAATATATATTAATCGTAAGACAAATGTGGGGTTTTAATGTATTTATTCTTACAGATTTTTACAGAAAGAGGGTTTTTCATCCCATATAGGGTGCAACCTGACAACAAACAGTAATAGTGATATCCATTATCAATCAAAAATATTTCTAGTAAAAACAGCTTTTCTGGGTATTACTAGCAAATGTTAAAATATAAAAGACAAAATAAATGATTAAAAATTAAATTTGAATTACAATTGGGTTGCCTTTGGATAAATTGAAAATAATTCAAAAAGACGATCTTCAATTTTGGGAGAAATTTATGAGCAAAAACAGAAAATACCCAGGAAAAATATTAAACAGTTAAATGAATAATAGTCTATCTTTGTTCCATTTAATATTTCCTAGTATTTAGAAAGCAACAAACGTAAATTCTGATTATTAAATAAATCTTGCAATTGTTTCGGCGAAACCTGCTTAAAGTGATTTCATATACAAAATGACTCAACTTATGTGTCATGTATTTGTAATATTTACTATACTTTGAGATAAACATCAGTTCCTATGCAAATTAGTTAGGTGTACCTGCAGATATATATATATATATATATATATATATATATATATATATATATATATATATATATATATATATAAAGATCTCGGGTTATGTTGTTCGTCTCAATACACCTCCGAAACGGTTTGACCGATTTTTATGAAATATTATAATCACATACTAGTTCAGTATGACTGTGATTTGGCCAACATTTATTTTTCGTATCCTTTAGTTAAGTTTTCTAATTTTTGTACCAATATCATTTATTTTATTTTTTTAAATTTGTAATTTAACACATACAGCCATAAATTTTCTTCTACCACAAACTCTTATTTCTTAGTAGTTTAATCGAATAATTTTCCCTGCTTTCAGTCAGAAATGTTTTCATCAATTTGAAATCACATTTTCTTAAACTTTTGAAAAACCTTAAATTTTACTTAAAAAAAAATTATTCTTATCAGGAGTTTTCCTAACACTTGACTCTCGTTGATTAGTTTTGCAAGACGTTCAGTCGATCGTTTTTTTTTAGAATTAGCAGAAAAATGCTAAATTTTTCATAATTTTTGTTGCAAAAAAATTTTGAACCAATTTTAAACATTTAAAATCTGTTTGCAAAATGTTATTCAGGAATTTTGCTGATTATTTTTCTCATAAAAATTTTCTGAAAAAAAATCTCTTTGGCGATTTTGATGAAACTTTGTATGATGGTAGAGTTCATTGGTGTTAACGAACATTCTAAAATATTATAGGCTTACGAAAAGTGGTTTATTCATAAAAAAAATATTCAAGTTTGGAATAATGGGCTGTGTTAAATATTTATAATTCTACCGTTACAATTCGTTAAAATCAATTATTTTTAAGTAATTAATAATATACGAAGTTTTATTATAAATGTGCTATACAATTGCATTCTAATCAACTTAATACACTGTAAACTATTTTTAGTTATTCAATAAAATTATATTAAATTTTTATACAATGTTGAAATAAAATTTTTCGCACAAACTATTAACTAAATATTTTTGCGCAATGAAATTTCATATAAAAAAATTCAATGGTCATAACCTTACACACGGTCAATTTTTTGTATTTGTAACGTAATATAAAATATTTGTCTGTTTTGATATAAATGAATTTGATTACACTTTTTATTAGATAATCAAATTAATACGAGTAACTCTTGTCTGTTTGAAATGAATATTAGCTTATTAAAAATCATTAATAGTCGTAATTTATAGTTATTAATTAAAAATTGCCTTAGGTTTAGTTTTGCAATCAAATCAATTGATCATCATGATGATCATTTATTGTATTACATATAGCCATTATCTCAAATAGTATTATCTAATATATTATATTTTGATCCATGTTAGATTGTTATTATTAGAATTTCTCTAATACTGATGATATATTTTTAATGTGATGCTGGGAAGGGGCTATTTTCAGTTAAATCTATATTTTCAATGTTATACTGCTTGATATCAAGCTGTCCGAGAAGCCCATTGAACTTAAACCCTTTAGTTGCAAGACTAAAGCTCTCACCTGTAGCACAAAATATACCAAAAAATAATAATATTGAATTAAAATAAATAATTTGGATTAAATTAGTTTTTCCTATAGTAGCACTCATCACAAAAGTTAAAATCATATATTTATTATCCCGATTTATTTTTAACACCAAACAACTAAATATAGCAAATGTCATTCAAAACCGTTCAACTTGAAATAATCATAATAATAATGTTAGAGGAAAAGACCCTGGTGATACAAAAACGGAATAATCTGTTAATGTCGACATTATCAGTATAATAATTAAACATGCCATTAATTAACAGACATTTAACTTTAACGAGGAGTTCATTAGCTCTCTAATCAGATACACATGTCGGCGTATCTTTTTAGGAATATTATATGTATAAAAATATACATATATTTTTCACTATTAATTCACTGTGTATGATATATTGACCCACAAGATCGAAAAAGCTTCCTTTTTCATTCATAGTTGAAAAAGATGATGCCGGCTTTTTTGTAATTCGAACCATTTATAGATGTAAACATATTAGAATGGTAAAGCAGGGACTAATTGGAAATTTAAAAAAAAATAGTGGCTTATGGCATCGTGCCTTGAAGCAAATTGCTGGTACTTCCCGTACCGTTCAATATTTATATTTTATAGACAAAATATAAGAGCTTATAAAGTGGACGATTAGATATCAATTGGATATAATAAAGGACATTGTTTAATGTTTATCAGAATTACATAAATTGAAATGAAAAGTTAAAACTATTTATTTGAAGTATATAGTGATGTTTAGAACTTTAGCTATAATTAGAATTAGAATTCGAATTAATTTTGATTTCCAAAAAAAAATTTTTTGAAAATTAAAAAAAAAATCTTTCCCCAAAAGCAATCGTTTTGTCAATACAAATAATTCAAATGCTTAGTTTTCTCAAAAACTGTCATTTTTTGCATATTTAGCTCCGTATGTCCAAAACGGCTGAATTTACATTTGCTAAAAATTAATCAGCATACTCGTATGTACCCATCAATAGGAATCTATTGCTTTTTGATTTATTCAAATCTGATCATCCATAGGCCCGAAATCGTCGAAAATCATTTTCGATTTTTGGACGATTATAATAGCTACAGAAAGTTATAAATGACATTAGACCTTAAGAGTCCAGTTGGCTTTTGTGATGATACTTCTGAAAAACATTACCTTTTGGAAGGCAACTTACAAAGACATTTGATATATTTTTATTAATAGAATTTTTCTAATACTGGTGGTGGTAATATATTCTTAATTTAATACCTAGGAAATGGGTATTTTCTTTCATAAAATTAATTAAATTTATATTTTCTAGTTTTCTTCGGACAGTCTGATATCAGTTACTTGTTTTTTTTTTATTACTATTTATCCTAGCAATCTAAATGAATGTATTCAATAAGTTGTTGTGATGCATCATTTAGACCTATCATAATTATAATTATATCTACATTTTTCAGTTTTACTTGGACAGTCTGATATCGAGCAGTAGTGATATTAGTAATCACTTATTTTAAATTGCTATATATCTTAAAAACCTGAATGACATATATGAAATATTTAACAATTAGGTAGGTGCTCCGAGATGTGATGGAATTAATTTTCTTGTTTTTTTTTCGAAATTACTTTTTTATTACTCTTTACATTTCATGTTTTTTTATGTTATTTGAATAATTAACAATAATTGCGCCGAAAAAAAATGTATTAATTTGAAATTGTACAGAATTAAAATAATATATGATATCATCACAGAATTAAATAATAAATGTCTAAAATGTTTTTATTTTTCAATATAATGGCTTAGTGTTTTTTTCGGGTTAGAATGCAGAATTTGATTAAAACTTGAGTAATAAGATTTTTTGCTGAATGATGGAGACATATTTAGTAGTCGAAACTGTACAAATTAATATAAATATTAAAAATTTAAAAAAATAGTATTAAAAACCCTGAGAATTTTTACTAGTCATATCAATACACGTTACAATCTGAGGCATGTTATAACCATTTAATTTCATATGTATAAATGCCCACAATCATCTTGTTTATTTACAATTTTGCCATATATTTCAAGCATTCCATACGCATTATTTTTATTTAAATATCAAATGTTAAATCTAACAAGTCATTATATATAAGTAGTAAATACCGTTATAAAAATTGTATGCTAAATATTGCAACAAATGCATGATTATACAGTGCTCGTCAATTTCAAAAACAAAATTCTTAGTATACAGTATTTATAAAATATTATATATTTTGTACAATTAATAAAAGTATTTATATTTTATTATATTTTCAACTGAAACTAATTTTTTTATTTTCTGCATTATTTTCACATTAATCTTAATGGTGTACCTTACTTGGATCATCCAGGTGATCAAATCCATATCTTTCAAATAAAATTCATATACCCAAATATAGCTTTATTACATGGTGTTAAAATCTACGTTAGACTCACCTAAAAATTTTTAATTTACATTTTTAGATTTCCAATTCGACCCTGGCCCTTTCTATATCTGTTCACAAGTTCTATAAGATTGTTAGACGCGTCTCAATCTCATGTGGCACAGTGCGGCTTCTAAGCTCGCAGTGGAAGAAGTCCAATTTGAATTTCCACAAAAATTATAAGATTTTTTTTTAATTCAAGTGTGATTTTTTTTATTTTTTGCAGTGCTAGTTATTTATCTCCTCCGTTCAGATGACAATCGAAAACGAATTTTAAAATTATTATAAGACATTTGTATGGTAAAAGTGATTGGAACAATGCGTACGATTATTTTAGTGTCGTTTTTGTTCGGATTGGCAGCCTCTTTGGACCAGGGCAGGTTGTACCCTTTTGGGGAAGGAAGGGATCTGGTGCTACCACATGTAGATGATGTTTCTACAGGTGAAATTACTCTGCAGACTCCTGTTTATTTCTATGATGAAGTCTACACCAGTATATACGTGAGTTGATAATATTTATTTTAATTTTATATATATATAGATATATATATATATATATATATATATATGTTCATATAGTTTTATGGTATACTTTTTTCCATATACATAATGCAAACACTTACATATTTTGTAAAATTCTGTTTTTTATATTAATTTTTATTTGGCTCTGAGAATTTAGCCACCTACAACATAATTCCGATTTTAATGTCGACATATATATTAACAAAGTTTAATAATTGGTCAAAGTCAATTTCTTTTAAACATTTATTTTACAATCCATACATTTCGATTATAATCGTAGCCTTCATTCAGTAAAAACCAAAAATAAAATTCAAAAACTAAAACAATTAAGATTGAATAATTATGGAGTAAAGAAGTATTTACAATTTGCTAATCTTAGCGTTAATAAATAAATAAAGTAAATAGAAAAATCAATAATAAATAATCCATGATATATTGCTACACAATATTTCACGATTATACTAACATTATTAAATTATCACAAAATAGTAAGTCTTTAATATATGTGTTATCTGTAATTTTTGTGATCGTTTAATCAAGTTCTGGCTCTTATGTAAATCAAATTACAATATAAATAGTTAATTCGATAAGCGAGATTTTGATGTTAAAAGGTTTTTGTTTTATTATTAGTATAATTAGTGTTAGTTGTTTTGCTAAAGTTTTTAACAAATCAGAGTCCTGATTTATAAAATAGTTCTAAAATTGCAGTTGCAAATAAATACAATGCCCTGAAAATTTTGAATTAACATAAATGACAATAAATAAAATATATACACTTTTCCTACCGATACACTTTTCCTACCGATGGACAAGAATATTTCGTGTCGTTGATATTGGTCTTATATTTTATCTTTTATATAAAGTTTTTTTATACATACTATATTATACAAAACTTTATGTTTCTAACCTAGATTTAGATTTTTTTTAAGCAACATATCCTAAAAATCATATTAAGTCAACCAAAAGAACACTAATACTATTAAAATTCAGACTTAGAGTGATTATTAAATTTTGCAAACTTTATATATAATAAATTCTGTAAAAAATTTATTTGTTGTAAATTGTTGTATTTAACTTTGTCGTAAAAGTTGTAATTATAATATTATATGGACTACCTGAGTTTATTAAACTTTTGCTTTAGAATATCTCTGAATTTTTGTCTCAGCTTTAAAGTACTACATTTTCTCCTGAATTAAATATTAAATTCGCATTCTTTATAATTTTATGCTTTTGCCCCAATTACGACAAATTTAGTTTAAATTGTTTCAAATTGATTTCAAATAATATAGAGAGAAAAGCTCATTTCTGCAATATATTTAAATATATAGAAATAATGTAAAATAAAATTTAATGAATAATTAGGACGACCATTGGGTTGCCTTCTGAAAAGCCTGAGAAAAAGTGTCATTACGACAACTCATAGAGAACTCTTAGTAAAATAATAAAACATTTCTAATAATTTCACATTTTCTTTGCATCACTTTTTTGAGGAAACACTAATTTCCTAATCAGTGTCCAGACAGAGTATGTTTTAAATCAGGAAGCCCTTCCAACTCATTTATCGACATATGGCCATTAAATTATTTTTACTTCAAAAAGCTTTGTCCATATGACGATCGGGGCCCCCATTCATTTTCCACAAATATCTCAATTTACATTAAAAAATCCTAAAATGCACCTAAATCTAGGTTACAAATGCTGTAACATTTTTATGACCATGCCGATCACATCCTCAACAGCCTATTTATAATATTTATACAAGCAGATTCGTTTTTAACTGACAGATTCTGTAATATTTCAAAATTTTATAGCTCTAACGAGTATAAAATCAGCTTCCAGTTTAGTTAGTTGTTCTAGTTTCGCTAATAATACAAAGTAAGTTCAAAAGATCATCAAATCAGTATTTAGATGTCCTAATTCTACGACGTGCCAACTATTGCGAAATTCTAAAGGATTCATTCGGAAATCATTAGTGATGATTTATTTTGGAGTAATAAAAATATAGGATTGTTTTATTTGAGTGGGAGTAAAATCTTAAAACAAAGATACTAATTTACTGATATTTTGCAATTGAGTACTACCTACAGAGGATTCGATAGTTCTATTACAAATATAATTTACATATAGCAATTTGTACTGTGCAAATCTAAATCCGTGTTTGAATTTGTATTACAAATATTCTTTTTGTTCTACAAAATAATTAGTTAAATGATACATGTACAATATGCACATGAAGTTTGTAACCAGATTTTTCAAAAAATTCTTCTTACGTTAATAAATAATTTGTTGAAGAGCATTAGTAAACCTATCTATAGCAATCTATAGGAATAATCTAAAATTTTTGACCTTTCTACGAAAAAATCATAATTTCACATAAAATCTATTAATTTTATGATTAATATATCCATTAACCGTGTATATTTGATATCCCTCAAATCTTTAACATTTATTCATCCCCATGATACAAATATTAATTTTACATATTCAAATTTAAATTGATCAGTAAATATTGCATCAGAAAATAATATTGTTTTTAAATAACCTACTATTTACTCGTGTCGATTTAATGTTATTTGATTTAGTGTCTATGTTTTATAATAATTATTTGAATCCCTCAATTTATATCGAATTGCATACAGAACGAATCATGAATCAAGTATTTGCATTGATGAGGATTTTCAATCAACATTTCTATAATTAATTCTTGTTTAATTTTAAAACAAATTAGTTATTCACTCTATATGCTAATATTTATCGAACTATTTTAATAGCAAATTATTTATTTGGTGATTTTACATTATAGACTTATTCTTATAGACTATAGACATATTCTTTTTGGCTATTTTTTCTACCCATATTTATGTTAATAGATTTTATGTAAATAATTTCATTTGAAACGCAATGTTCGAATTTTAATTTAATTTATTTTTACATTTTTCACTTCAATTTATTAATTGAATATTTTAGGGCCACATTACTAAATTGCGTTTGCATATTCATGTAATTTATGATTTATTTATAAAAACATGAAAAGCAAAAATTATTTACCTGCGACTAAATACATGTCTCTATTTTTTGTTGATAAAACTTGTACAATCACACTTATTAATTCAACTTTACTTCAGTTTTAATATTTTTTGAAAAAAAAAATGTATTTTTGTATTAGTAAAGAATTTTTGAAAGATATAAAGAAGCTAAAAAGTTTTTTTATGAGGTAATAATTAATTTGTTTTATGATGTATGTATGAGAAAGAATTTAATGTTGTAGTTTGAAAGTGCTTACACTATTTTTTACAATTTTACAATACAAAGAAAATATATACAATAATAATTTTTTTTAACTTCCGCCCAAAAATGAAAAATAGGTTTTTTTCCATATCTATGTCTCAGAGGTTTCTGAACATTTTGGCACATCTATTTAGAAAAATTGGGCGTATGTGTGTATATGTGTGAATACAAGTTTTGACGATATTTTTTGCAATTTCTGCAAAGGAAGGTTTAGCGGTTTCGGAGATTCAGAACAAGAATTTAAAAATATACCATTTTTGGCGATCGAAGTTTTCAAAAAATATTATTATTTTCAAAAAAAGCTATTTTTTTCTAATTTTTGAAATGATCTATGTTACGGGCTTATTTTCGTATGAATTATACATAAAGCCTAACTTCACGTAGGTGCTATCAATGAGACATCAGAAAGATGCATTTATTTTAAAATTGTTATTTGACGTTTGAGCCTTTTGGAGGTTAGGTTTTAGGTCTGATTGCACAGCGAATACATAGATTTTTGATAGTTCTTTACTACCCACTCATATGCAGTTAGACCCGTAACATACCGTTGCTATAACATTATTTTATCAGAGAATAATGTTATTCTAATTGTTTGTAGTCCCTTGTTCTAAAAATTTTAAATATATTAATATTATAAATCTCTATCGTTTTCAATCACATTGTTTGTTGGAATTGTTTAGAAATTGTTTATTAATCTTACGGCTGATTATTTTGTTGCCAATGCTTATCTACGAATTCGACCTTTTGCCACTTGACCAAGAATAATATATGTACATTCATTCAGTTTTATCAATATTTGCTAATTTTGAAATAGAATTGACACAAATGCAAACATCTATGTGCTAAATTGCCGTGTTTATTTGCTTGAGTATATTATCTGATTTCAAACAATATTAAGAGAATTATAATGATTCAAAAATTTTGAGAGTTTGGAAATTGCAATTGCGAGTAAATGACCTTAGTGAACCACGAAACTCGTTTTTGGTACGATCTTCATTCACATGTGACACTATTACTGCTTGATATCAAGCTGTTCGAGACTGTTGTCTTACAAAATTAAACAAATGAATTACAATATTACAGATTAATTTTGTTGACAATTATTTTCATTTCTAGTTACTCATTGGCATTTTTATTTCTAGTTACTAATTTCGTTGGAAATAATTATAGCCACATCTCATCACTGATGATGATGAGTATTATTTTGAATTTTAGTTGTCTATTATTATCACTTCTATTAAATGGTTCTTCATAAAATTCCCTAATTTTGATAATATCAGAATGTGTATAGTATGTAGTATCTGTGATTCATAAATTAAATAAGATAAATCGTATAGGATCGAATTAGTAATGAAATCATTATGTTTGGAATGGATTACTTCATTCATTCATATATAATAGTTAGAAAATATGTGTATTAGTATTTAACTGGTGGTGCATGGCATCGTGCCTTAAAGCAAATTACTGGAACTTAAAAAATTCCAGTACTGGAACTACTGGAGAAAAAAATTCAATTTTCTTTTAGAACTCTGAGAAAATTGATTTTTGTGATTTTTAAAATTTTTGGAAGAATTTAACCTTTTGGAAAAGTTTGATTTTTTTATAATTTAATATATTTTGGGAATTTAGAACTTTTTTTTAAGCAATTGCGATATGTTAGCTGTGGAGAAACTAAATGTCGAACCCATAGAAAAGTGAACAAAATTTCTTAATATTATTAAAATATCTATAATATATGCAATAATTTTATGTGCATATGTCTAATGATCATTTTTGGTCGCCAAATGGCAATTTTTCACTTTTTTTACTAGATCTCCGAAACCGATAGACCTGCCTTCTCAAAAATTTCATCAGTCCTTCATTTCCATACAAAGCGGACGCTCCGTTCTCTCAAAAAATCAATTACCTTTTTGGTACTTTTTGTCCCGTATCTTCGGAACGGCTAGACCTGCCTTTGTCAAAAACTTATCATCACGTCTCCTTATCAGTACAAATCGAATGTTTTATGAATTATTCAAAACGGTTGACCCATGTTCCCGAAATCGTCGACGAACATTGGTATCCGCACGCATACATATACATCCGTTTTTTTCTAAGGTATGCCAAAATGTTCAGAAGTACTTAAAACGTAAAAAATGCAAAAAAAATTATTTTTGATTTTTTTGCGATTACTATAACTTACCCTACGGGAAGTTAATAATACATAGAATTGTCTAATGAAAAGAATAATATTTAATCCATTTATATAACACTGCTAGGTTATATGCAAAATAAGAGTTTTTATTATAAGCAATTTAGCACTGTAAGTTTCTTAAGACTAAACGTTTTCTTAAGATTAAAAATAAAAATTATTTCTCCTCTTACTTCATATTCATTTTATATAAATTTTTAATTTAGAAAATTAGTCTTAAAAACTTAAAGTGAAAACACATCTTAAGTTTATAATTTTAATAATAAATTTTAAAATTGCGAAATAAACTAAGCAACAAGCAAATGTTTTAATTGAAGAGATGAATCTGGTGGTTTAAAATTAAATTATCAATATATAGTGAAACTCTATCTTTATTTCGCGAGTCCCAAAAAATTCTTTTAGCTAATGAAGCTAATATTAACCTGTTATTATATTATATTCAATAGCATTAAATAGCTATTTTAAATTTACATGTTTTGATCTAGGTAGAATATGATTTTATTAGGAAAATTATAGAGAATTGCCATTTTATTTTGCAATTAGAAAGTTTAACGTTTAATTTTCTGATTTCCCTTTAATTAAAAAAAAGATATATCATAGGAGATAATTTCTTTAAATGCATTTACACCCAGCATATTGTCTTAAAAAAATATAGTATTTTGATTGGCAATAAATCTACTCAAAAACCAAAATCCCTTTGTATACTTCTACCATAAATGAATAATTTTTGTGTAGTTTTTTAAATCGGTTTGTTCTGTACAAAACTATTAATATCATATATTCTAAAATTACATTATACAATTTGTAGGTCAAAAGCCAAATCATTATCATAGATATTCGTATTAATCTGTTAATACTTATCAAGATTATGCAATCATATTTTGAAGACTAATGACCGATGATATAATTACGAGTGCCCTTCAAATTTAGATTTGCTGATTTATCATACACTTTGGGAGAAAACATTTTTTTCATATTTCTAGAAAGACATCAGAACTTTTTTTAGTCGTTCTATTCATTTTTTCTATGAGTATTCTTTATAACCCAGAAAGAGAAGTTTTTTGGTGATGAGATTCTCATTAGAAAATTCGGTGGTGATATATTGCAGGAAACCCTGAAAAGCTATTTTCACTAGTATTTATATTACAAAGCCACTACTATAAAAAAATATTTATGACAGGTGGTAAATCATTCTTTACAATTTCAGGAATATTCTGAAAAAATAATTAAATAAGTAAAAAACAATTTTTGTTTCATTTTCCAACACGTGTCTGATGGTCCAGATCTATTTCGAGTTCTATTATACGGAACCAAACAGACATGTTTATTTGTCGGTGTCATGTTAATGATACGTAACATCTTTTGTATGACTTTTGAAGCGTTTAAAAAGATATAAATAAAACTATTCCAGGCCACATTTGAATTACGTCAATTAAGAGAAGTATTTAGAAGCCTTTTTGAAGAGGAGCGCCCTCGCGTTATGAGTTGACATTTTAATTGCAACGACTTAGACGAATGAAATGTTGCACGAAGACCAAAATTTCAGGTCACATGGTAAAATAAATATATAAAATATAAAATTTTATTTTTTAATTAGATAACGGATTAAATGATACAGATCAATCTGAGTAAAATAATGAAAAAAGTTGGAGTCTAAGAAATTGTGACTCGATAGACCTACTGTGGTTATCTTCCGAGAAAGCTACAAAATTCAAAAGTTTTATCATAACAGCTCATAGTACTCTTGAATTTCAATTGCTCATCACAAACATAAAAAAATTAAGACGTTCTAAAATTCTATTATAATGATCCCTAATGTTTACTTCTCAAAAAATTCCTGTTGCCACTTTTCGCCAGCTCTTACATAAATATTAGTATGTAATTCGTTTTTTTCTTCAATCAGCTGTCGGAAATTGGTTCTTCTATGTAATGTATATAAACATAAATTTCTAATAGCATTTGTACTAAAATCGACTCTGAATCATTCTATTAATAAACCTCTTAACAAACTTGCGGAACAAATCTGTTACTGGAAATCGTTGAGTTGCACCGTGAGGTGAACGAACTGCAAACTTCCATTAAGGATATTTTTAATATGGAATAGTTTTGTAGATTTTATTGTTATGTATTCAGTTAAACTATAATAATAAACAATAAAAAAAAATTAAAACATGTCAATTGAACATATATTTTCTTATAAGAGTCTAAATGATAATAAGTCTTTTCTACTCAAGCACCTTTTAGTAACTTAATTTTCTTTTATTTCCAGGTCAATACAAATGGTCTCCTCTCCTTTCGGACAGAGATTCCAATATTCTTCAACGTACCATTCCCAATGGAGTATCCTCTGATAGCTCCATTCTACAGCAATGTTGATACTTCAGTATCAGGCAGAGTATGGTATCGGGAAGTATCAGTCAATGATGCTAATCAGGCTGCCGATATCAGGCGAGCAGAGCAGGCTGTTCGAACAGCCTTTTCCGGCGCTCCTGAATTCCATGCCGAATCAGTTTTTATTGCGACATGGGACAACGTTGGCTTTCATGGGGGGCAAGGACTTAAAACTAACACATTCCAGGTAATAGATTGAGTGATATCGGTAAAAATAGTGATTTTAGAAAATTTAGTTCAGTGAAGCAAGTGAGGAGTAGATCGAATTTTGTTTTCCTTTTCTAATTTAAATCCTTATTTACCATTAACTGGGACTGATGATTATCCTCGTCATGGCCAAGTGGCATTTAATATTAATAGGTAATTATTTGTCCCAGGTTGCTGTCACGACAGGTTTTAATCCAACAACTGACGCCACTGAAAGTTATGTCGAATTTTTGTATCCTCAAGGAGGTTTGCAATGGATTCAAGGTGCTCCTGGCCCTTCGGGCTTACCTGATGTCAGGGCCCAAGCTGCAATTGGTGCCGAAGATGGCAGAATTCATGTACTTAAGGGATCTGGAACTGATCAGGTAATAATAATTATTATTATAAATTTTTTTCGTTGATGTTATTATACCACAATCTAAAAGTATGTTTTAAGTGACACTTTTCTACTAATACTAAATTCTGCGCTTATCTGTCTTGCAGCATTTTAATTGTCATTTAGCCCAGTTTTTTGTTAAATCCTTGTCAACGTTTAAAAGATGCTCAAGAAATCTAGTTCATGGACGAATTTCAATTTAACTAGACAATGTTTACTTAATTGTCACTTAAATACATGTTGGAGTAAAGAAACCATTTGTTTTTTAAATTAATTTGATAAACTTGTTTACATTTACGACTTTTTTGAGAAAGTGATGAACTTATTATTACAAACATTTGTATGTTGTATTTAATTATTCTTATGTTAGTATAGATAACTTGTTTTAAAAGTCAAGAAATTAGGTTTAAAATGTATGAAAGTATCACTAACAATATGCATATTATAACTATATTGATAATAATTATCAACAATTATTAAGAAAGTTCAAAACATTGAAATATGATCTGTGGTTTCGATATCATTTTGCTAAAAGAACATATAAATTTAGACTTGCTTATAGTTTACTTGTCATTGCATTTTTGAATAAACTATGAGACATTTTTCAATTTAACTAAAATTTAACCTTCTATGAGCTGAATTTTTTGTATTACATCAATTTTTTAACTTCTCTTTAACTTTCTGCTTATATTGACAAATCAATTGCTTTTGACGATAAAAAATTATTACATCTTTTTTTTCTTTTCCATAAAATATTTTTGTAATTTTGGATCAAAATTCAAAAAATTACCCGGGCTAAGCACAGTCTAAGCGCCACTCTGGTACAAATGTTTACCCAAGTACGTTTAGACTGTTTATGTACTGGAGCACTTTTCAAATTTGGGCTAAGCTCAGTATAAGTGAAAATGTCGCACAGAATTATTTGTAAATGCGTTTAGACTGTGACTATACTGGAGCACTTTTTCAATTTTGTGTAAATTAGGCAACTATTTTTTTGATATTGAATTCAAAATGAAATGACGATTGTTAATGTTCTGGAGATAAATTGATCTATGATTTACATTTGATTTGCTCAGATAACAAGATAGCAAAAATAATGAAAGTTACAGTATTTGTAATAATATATTTGAAATTTCATTACGGTACGGAAAGTTCCAGCAATTTGCCTTAAGGCACGATGCTATACAGCACTAATTTCTAAATTAGCTTGTACTAAGCAGATTTCATTTTCCTCAGGTAGTAAATTTAAGTCGTTTATCCAACGTGGGCGAGCCAGGATATTGGATGTTCCAAGTCGGTCCTTTGGGAGAACGTGGCGATGTCATCGAACCAGACACTGCTGCGTCTTCTTCAGGCGAAAGTAGCGATTCTTTGGATACTTCTGCTTCAGATTCTTCAGCAGACTCTTGCGCTGCTGGGGGCCGCATCAAATGTCACGCTAGGGCCAAGTGTCAGGATACTGAGGAAGGCTTCTGTTGCAAGTAAAATATATTAATTGATACTTATTGCCAAATATTTAGTTTAGAAAAGTAAATTCTAATTTAATTTATATTTTATTTCCAGGTGTGATCAAGGATATTATGGCAACGGTATCGCGTGTCTTAAACGTGACGTTCCTTTACGAGTCAATGGTAAAATCACTGGAACTTTAAATGGTGAAGCTTTAGGCGTTATGGAGCTTCAAAGTTATGTCGTCATGGCTGATGGACGAGCTTATACTGCTTTGTCGAAAGTTCCTAGGGAGCATGGATACGAAATGCAGGTGAATATCATACACACAAACTAACATATTTACTTCCTCAAAAAATACTTTAGTAAGTATCTGACAAAGAAGCGTTGCTCCACACAGAATTCTTACATTGTTCTAAGATCATGTGAATATTTTTTAGGTGTTACATATTTTGGGATCAGTCATCGGATGGTTGTTTGCAAAACCTGCAGGTACTGCGCAAAATGGATATCAATTAACAGGTGGCGTCTTCAATCACACAGCTGATATTACATTCCCTGGAACACCACATAGAATTTCCATCACTCAACGTTATACTGGATTAGATCTGTTCGATCAACTTCGACTTGAAGGAGAAGTTACGGGTAAGTCTTAATTGAATTCCGTAAATTTTTTAAAACTAGTCTTTTACCAAGTAGTTTAATTATCATTCAGAATAATCCTAAGCAATTCAATTATGATTTTAATTATCATATTTTTTATGATTTTTGTGTCTGCATTATTTTTTTTAGGAACTTTACCGGCATTCAGAGATGGAACAAAAGTAGAACTCGACGAATTCATCGAAGAATATTCTCATCCAGCACCAGGAGACTTGAGATCAGTAGCCACACGTACATTGCGCCTCAAAAGCGGCGGTTTAGAAGATGATCCATCAGCTTCAGTATTGGTTTACGAACTATCACAAAGGTTTTCATATGAACCATGTAAATTCCAAAGCCCGTCTGACAAACCAGATCCGATTAAAATTAGAGTATCCAAGAACTTCATCGGGTAAGATAATAAGATAATGTCTATATCAAAATTTGATTACTTACTTATATTTTTCTATTCTATTATAGTTATGAGTCACGTGAACGAATTCTTCGGTATGGAATGAGCGATAAAGTATCTTTAGCAGGAGAGCAGGATCCTTGTGCAGATTTCAGATGTGGTGAACATAGTGCCTGTGTAGCTGATGGAGATGATCATCGTTGTGTCTGTGATCGTGGTTACCATTTCTTGTATGGCACTGATGAAGAGGAATCTGCATGTGTCGATGTTAACGAATGCCAGGTAGGTAATAGTAACATTAACTTAAATTATATGTAGTCTGAAGCAATTGGTATCAAGTAATAATAGACCATAAATTTATTTTCAATTGTTTGGCTGACCAAAATCGATGACGTTAATGCTCCTGGTCTAGACAGGAAATAAATAATAATTTAGAGTATTAAATGAATAAATTATTGTTTTTATCCAGGTTGGTATCCACGGTTGTGATGTCAATGCTCGTTGCATCAACGAACCAGGTAGTTTCCATTGCGAATGTTTACCAGGATATACTGGTGATGGAAGACGTTGTGAACCTCTGACTCAAGAAGCTTGTGAAGTAACTCAAAGGTGTCATCCAAATGCTATGTGTGATGTTAATGATCGCTGTGTATGTTTACCTGGGTAAGAAATACAATTTATTAAATGAATTGACTTAAAAAAAACTGATGTAAATTCACATCAGTTTATATTTTCTTCAATTTTTAGTGAAAATAATTATTTTATTGTATTTCTAGCTACAATGGGGATGGAAGAGATTGTACATCCGAAATGCCAGACACCACCCAACCACCAGAACGTATACGTGGTTATTGCATTATGGGCGAATGTACTTGTCCAGAAAATTATTACTTATACAGTTTGGAAAATGAGGAATGTAGATTGCGATCGGAACCCGATGGTGAGTTTGGTATGATATTGATCACTAATAATAATTAATTTCTATGTAACCAACTCGCTTTGATTTAAATGGTTCACAAATAAAACCGTTAACATTTATATATCTTTGATGTGATTTTTTTTATTCTAATCATATAAATATTTTTTTTTGTCAGTTAAAAAAATCATTAAAATCTGTAAGTATTAAATTACGTTTTCTGAAGTGTTGTAGTCTAACACAAATCTGGTTATTGAGTTACTAGTCCATGTATCAAGTATGATTTTTATTAATCCTATTTCTACTTTTACTGCATGTGTTTTTCATTAATTTTACTAATCGTGTGTGCCGTTTTCAATAACAGTCGGTGCTCGTCCCTTGCCCTTATGTTCCCCATCAGGACATCATTGTCAATGTCCGGAAGGATATAGTTATAGTAGGGATTACCATAATTGCCATCCAATTCCGGGATATGTTCTGGATACTATGGGGCCTACAGGAAATAAACGTGAGTACGCAGATTAGCATACTAATTATATTAGAATTGAGCTATGATGATTAATAACTTAGTAGTTTTGATACATTTTTTTTAATTTTAAGTATTTGTACATAAGTACCCCGCTGAACACAACTGTGACGTCTACGAAGTTTTTACGAAAAATCATATTGCACGTAACAGTTACGTAATAAAAGTGTAACATGCGTAGAAATACAGAGAAATTTCGTAAAAGTCACGAAACTAAAAAAAATATTTTTTTTGTTAAGCAGTTTTTGTTGTTTCACTTTTATATATAAACTTCTATTAATATTGCTATTATAACCTGTTTTAATTTTTGTTATAAATTTTCCTATATTTTTTTCAGTATCTTGTAACATAGTGAATACTTGTCATCCACATGCTCAGTGCGTTTACTCGGCTAGAAATGGTGGTGAATATTTTTGTGAATGCACCGCCGGCTACACTGGCGATGGCATTGAATGTAATCCTTTGAAGCTATCATGCAGAGAAGTAAGTTTGTTATATATATTTTATATATGGTTTATAAAAATCAGCGAAAAATAACTTGATCTTTGCTAACTCATCAAACTTCGTATGTTCACTAACCATTTCGAAATCATTTTATTTTACTGAAAATACTACCCTGTAGTACAAGTAATGCGATAGCACCTATTGTGTTCGACGCCTGGCTATTGACAGCAATCTCACGCAACATATGCGTGCGCAACAGAGAATGTGTTTTAATGCAATTTTTTGTATTATATTTTCTAGTCCGATATTTGCGACCTACATGCTACTTGCGAACAAGAAGATGGAATGACCGATCGTTGTGTATGTTCTGAGGGTTATGCTGGTGATGGATACCAATGTATGCCCGTGGGACGTGTTTGTAACGTAGATGAAGAATGTGGTATGTATAGAAAGAAAATAGTATATTTTTGGATACAATGTTATATAACATAACGTTGATCATATATATCATAATTCAGAGATATATTGAACATTTTTGTAAAATGTCGAAAAAGTTTTAGTTAAATTTGTAGCTGATTTATTTATTAAATTATTATTTCAGGTGAAGGAGGTGAGTGCAGAGATAGAAGATGTCAGTGCATCTCTGGCTACACCAAAGATCTTCAAAGCGAAACCTGCATCAGAGCCGGACTCTGTGGTACAGTTCTTTGTGCACAACATGCAAGGTACACCATCGATGTAACTTGTTATTCATATTAAGATTGATTGATAACATATAATTATATATAATAAAATTCACAATCAATTACAAATTTGTGATTGTGATTGTATTTTCCAGTTGTCTGTGGGATGCAGATGAAGAAGCTCATTATTGCGAATGCGATCAAGGATACGTAGGCGAAGGTCATAGCCGTTGCGAAAAACCGCCGCCTTCCTGCAATGAAGTTGATAATTGTCCTATACATGCAACATGTTTGCAAGATAGAAGGTAAATTAATAAATTGGTCAATAACAGTATAAAGCTAAATATTATAAAATAAAATTTACAAAATCAATATTTTTAGAACTGGTCAGTACACTTGCGTATGCGACAGAGGATATCGTGGTGATGGACAAACTTGTCGTGCAGAACCCACATGCGCCGAAGAACCAGAAATGTGTCACGCTATGGCCAGGTGTACATCGACACAACGTGGTCCAAGATGCGTATGCGTAGAAGGTACAATAATTAAAATATGTATTTAACAACGATTTTTTAAAATTTGTATTCCTTTAGAAATATTCACTGCCATTTCTACTTAGGTTTCAATGGCGATGGAAAGCACTGCGAGCGCCCTGCCAAACACGACAGTGGTTTCTTACTACTGAATCAAGGTATGGCTACTTTACGAGTACCATATACACCTGAAGGCGGTGCCCAACCTGGTGGTAAACCTATACAAGTTTCATATTACCAGATGGCAATTGGTATCGACATAGATTGCTCTAAAGGCAGAGTATACTGGACCGACATTGCTGGAAAAGCTATCAAAAGTTCGGAATATAACGGTACCAAGGTGGCTACAGTATTAGACAATGGTAATATATTATTCTATTATCATGCATTATTAACTTCACCAAGGAGAAGTTTGTATTTTTGCCAGAAAATTTGATTTTGATTTTATGACTTTATATTTCTACAGATATTGGATCTTCTGAAGGCATTGCAGTTGACTGGAATTCCCGCCTAATGTTCTGGACAGATTCTACGAAATTGACTGTTGAGGTAGCCAGTTTAGATAAACCACAATTACGAAAAGTATTAGTTAACACGGGTCTTGTAAATCCAAGAGGTATTGCGGTTCATCCTGGCAAAGGGTAACTAGTTTCGGAAATTGAACATCTTATTGTGTTAATGACACTTGTTCAATTACTATTATTAATTTTCATTTTTTAGCAAAGTGTTTTGGTCTGATTGGAACCGTCATGCCCCTCGCATAGAATGGAGCAACATGGATGGATCAGAACGCGAAGTTCTTTACGAAGGTCCAGAAGCATATTTGCCAAATTCTTTAGCAATCGATTGGCACACCGATAATCTTTGTTACACTGATGCCGGCACTAAGAGTGTCCAATGCATTCACCCAGAAACCAAAAGAATACAAAAAATGGCTGATGGGTTGACGTACCCATTCGGTTTGGCGATTACACGAGACAGGTTCTATTGGACTGATTGGGAGTCGTAAGTTTTGTAAATCTCTATGTCTATTATAAAATATATTAATTACTATATTATTTTAGTAAGATGATCGAGAGCGTGGATCGCTACACGGGGGCTCGCTCAGCGCCCGTTGCTGTCCCGCTGGGTGGTAGCGGTAACAAATTATATGAAATTGTAGCCGTCACAGAAAAATGTCCTGACGCAGCAGGATATTGTGGGACGGAATCAGGCAACACTTGTTCATTAGATTCTAATGAATTGTGTCTCCCAAATCCACGCACAGGTTACACGTGCGCATGTGCGGATCCATCTGGTACATGTGATTCCAGGCATTAAAATTAAAACAATAATTGATTAAAGAACACAATTTCAGAATTCGAATCACTTGAGGTCAGTTTTATAAGAGGAAAACAATAAGGTATACATTTAAAACGATTTATATATAAAATTTGTACTTCGAATTAATTTTGAAGACCATATAAATCTTCAGTCAAATCCCACCTGTAAAGCAATAACTACTGCTATATTCAAGTCACTTTTTATCAATATTTGCAAAAATATACTTCATTAATTTTTATCATTTTGATAAGAAGCATTCTTCTCTAGTGTGTTATGCATACCTATTATTAATATTTAAAATATAGAACTAATAGTTATATTTGCGGCAAATATCATTTGATTCGAATAATAATCAACATAATTGAAACCATTAGAAAAAAATCGATATAATTTAAATTATCACTTACATTAACATTTATCATAATAAGCCAGATTTGCCACTTGAATGAATATTTTTCGATATAAATTATACAAAATAATTATAACAATTATTTAAGTGACTATTATAAGGAAATAATTTATATTACCGCTTAATTTTTGTTTGCTGTAATTTTAAGAGTGTTTTATTAAGTATTTGTGAAAATTGTGTGTGTAAAAAACATATTACTACCAAAAATTTTAGTTTCTGTTTAATTAATAATTTTGTATACTATAATTTGAGGCATTTATAAATAAGATAGAATACAAGTAAATTTATTTTGTATGTACATACATTAAACGGCCAAATAATAAAAATATAAATTTTACGGGATTTTTATATTAAAATTTGTATTATATATATTAGCTGTACCGCAATCATATTTTAGCCAGAAAAAATATTTTTAGAATTCTTTACTATTAAAAACAACTGATTGTGAATGTGGAACTATGTAGTATATAATTGAAAGGGTAAGCTAACACAAATAATATGGATGGTTTACTCACTGCAAAGCATGCCATATATAAATGTTTGTGGGGCACATTCATAGCCATTGCAAATGCCAGATGATGATGCCAGATGACTGATTCATTCATTCATTTAAATTTTAAGATTCAAGGCTTTCATATTACCGCGATTTTCATAATGTCATTAATTTTTGAATCCAAACATTAATTTTTGCATTATGCTGTGGAATACCTAGCGAATTAAGTAAGATTTCAAAAAATCTATAAAGAAAATTATAAAACACCCCTTATCGTTTATGTTTTAAAAGCGGTTTTAAGCGGATATAAGATTCAAGTTTTTTAAAATTTTACGATTTGTTTCACAAGCTAAAAATAAGATCTTCAACAATTCTGGAAGAAGAGGTACGGTTGCTGGTACATAATATAGTTTTTTTTGTTATCTATTAATAAAGTTTTTTTTTCAAATTTCAAAATCAAAAACCGTTAGTGCAGCACAAGTTTGTCATGTAATACACTTCCCTGACGTCATGGCGCATGTTTGACAACTTGACACTCTTATGACACATAAACGTCATAAGTCAGCCGTCAAAATCAGATCTGTCAACTACGTACAAATGCTACGATTTAGAATAAGAATAATTAATAGAATAATTTAATTATTTCTATTATTTAATTAATCTCCAATTATGGGAAATGCTGGAAGCAATCCGCCAAGAGAACGCATGAAAACAGGTTCTGGGGAAATCGCCCCGCCATCCCCAAGTAAAGATGGACAAGCCTTTGTTTTTGACAAGAAGCCAGAACCTCGACTGAGTTACCAAGGATCACATGAAGAAGATGCACCTTATTTTGCTAAACCTGATGCAGAATTTGTAGATGGCCCAAGGCCGAGATCAAACACTCTTACGGAAGGAACTAAAAATGATGATCATACTAAAGTAATTGAGTTATTTGATCATTTCTATCATTTATTTAAGCTTGCCAAAAGTTATCAATATTGCTGGATAAACTGTGATCAATATAGATCAATAACAACTTTTCCAATAGTATAAATCTAATTTATTCACAAAATTTTCTGCTTTTAATAATACAACTTTGTGGATTGTTATTACAAATTGTTAGAATCTATACAATGTATGTAAAGAATGCAAATTTTTGTATCAGCCTTGTTTCTATATGTGACATCCGGGTCATGGATGCCTTCATTGTGCATCTTTTTATTTCGTGAAATTTTTTTACTTCGAGCTCTCAATCAATTTTGTATAGAAATCCATGCAAAAATCGCTTTTTCAATGTGCTTGAAAATTACTGAAATCTTTGATTTTCTTTGCATATAATAAGTTTTAAATATTAAAATATATTTTCTGTATCAAGTTGCCTACTGTCTTCAAATGGGGCGGTGGTGGCCGACAGGTTTACATCAGTGGTACATTTACAGAATGGAAAGCACTGCCTATGGTGAAAAGTCACGGAGACTTTGTTACCATTATAGATCTTCCTGAAGGAGAACATCAATACAAGTTTTATGTTGATGGAGAATGGAAACATGATCCAGAAACGGTATAATAAACGATTGATTACAATTACCATGTTAAGAACTATTTAAAACTTGTTTTATAAAGATATTTATCATAAAATGTTTTAGAATTTGATAGACAATGGCATGGGCTCCAAAAACAATTTAGTTTCTGTGAAAAGAAGTGATTTTGAAGTTTTCCAAGCACTAGCAAAAGATAGCGAATCAGTTCATCAAAGCGAGCAGAGAGAATGGAGTCAGGTATAAGTATTAAATAAAAATGTAACATACCTATTTGAATATATTCTTTATTATTGGGGTTTCTAAAGGATATTCCTGTCACCAAGCCTTGGGAGAAGCCACCTGCACCTCCAGTTTTACCTCCACATTTGCTGCAAGTTATTTTGAATAAGGATACTCCTTTATCAGTAAGTCACAGCAAATTTAATTTGTGTTAATATGAATATGTAGTATAAAAATTATTATATCTTGCAACATTGTTTTTAATTAATTGATATTGTGTGATTTTTTCATTTCAGTGTGAACCAACTCTTCTTCCTGAACCTAATCATGTGATGTTAAATCATCTTTATGCCTTGTCTATTAAAGATGGAGTAATGGTGTTAAGTGCAACACATCGTTACAGAAAAAAGTATGTAACTACATTATTATATAAGCCGATTTGAATTTATACTTTAAGATTAACGAGTTACTTAATTTAGGATTTTACAATTAAAATTTTGAAAATGTTTCAATTCAAAATGTGTTGATTTTTTAATTCATTATATAATGATAATAATTTTATATTCTTTGAAGTTACTTTAATAAGACTCAGGTAAATTCTCTTTCATTTTTCAAGAAATTTTAATGAAAATGAATTTTTTTCTAGAAGTAATATTAAGCCGAAATATTTTAATGTTGTGCATGTAATGGCCTGCCTAGTTGTATATAGTATTTTCTTATATTAATTTGCTGAAACATTTAGCAAGATTGTTGAAGTATATATTTATTGTATATTTAAAATTTGTTTTCTTTATAAAATTTATAGATATTATCACCTGTTATTTAAAGCATTTATTTTACAAAATCATACAAAATTTTTCATACTTCATCTCCTTAATTATGTATTATTCAGTGATATTCTCTACACCCTCAGTACAATTTTAAACAAATCATTTTTCTTAGTAATATAAAATTAGTTCTATAAAATAATTCATAGAGATAATGAAGATATAAATAGTTTAAAGAATATGTTTCAATACTAAAATTATTATGAGAGATCAATAAAGAAGAGATCTTCATAGTTAATTCAAAACCTATAAATTATTTGCAATTATATTGGAAAAAAAAATTATAAAACTGAAGTCGTGCTTGGCAAACCACAATTATGGCTAGATATCAACCATAAATCTGTGTGGTACAATTCCTCACCGTCAAATCATTCACAAATTAGTATCATTTGAAAATCAAACTACGTTTGTAACAAAAACGTCTTATGCATCTTTCCATCTTATTCAGTAACTAACTTAATATATATTATAAGATTATTGCTGTTATGAATAAATTAAGCAACTAATTGTCTATTTGTGATGAACATTTTAAAACTGCTAAGTGTTCCACCTGCAACTTTAAAAGCAAAAATTGCTGAAACTATAAGCACACAATATGCAGGTACCATCGATGCATAATATAAGCCACTTTGATTTAACAGTGTCAAACAGGACACGAAGAGGTGACTGCCTACAACCCATGATATTAAAGCATAATTGCGATTGTCGAGGGCATTAAAAAATATTACGCCCCAGAATGTATGCAATAATATAAAACATAGTGTAGTTCCAGCACTGACCATAAAGAAACTGTCGGAGCCTGATTTCAGTCCCATTGTGGCAGGACCAACCTATTAAGGATATATATTATATATTTATAATATTGATTCAACAGTAATGATTTTAACTTACAGAGTCTGCTAAAACATTATTCAGGGCAAAGGCACCACTGATTATACCAAATCCTAAACCAGAAACATAGGCCAAAATATGTTTGTTTTCTGTAACTTGAACATTTTCTGCAACTTCTTTAAGACCGTTTTCAGTTTTTCGCAATACTAAATAAATTAGATATCTAAAGAGTTCCTAAAATAATAATTTTGTTGAATATGGATATCAAATTTATTCGTAGTATAAATTTCCACTCATCCACCTACTTGAAATATTACAGAAAACACAACTCCAAATGCTAACTCATTTCTCAAAGGTACTACTGCAAACCATAATATTGATGAAAATAACAACGATAGTAGCCAGAAAAAGGCAGCAGCAATTAGAATAATTATTCTTATAGGATCATGAGCTATTGTAAAAGTGAACATAGCTAATGGGGGACCAAAAGCTAGGCATGCACATCCAAAAAATTCAGCTACGGTCATGTTGATACTTTTATTTATATACAGTATTTGACTTTGATTTCTGAATTGTAATTGTTCTTGTGCATATCAGTTCACCGCTTTAGCTATTTTTTCGTCAGTAGTAAATTAAACAAATACAGAATATTTATGCCAACATATATTTCGGATATGTATTGTTCACTTTGTTTCCATATTGCATTTTATTGCATTTACATTTAAAATTAAAAAAATAAATCTTGACTCATATCTCAATTATTTATTTGATCTGACATTTGACAGAAGTGTTGCCATAGAAGAACAATAGTCACTGACAAGCATGGCGGCCATCTTTGCACAAATGAGGCAATTTATTAGTTTGAGTGTTTTTGGGCTGTCAAATTATCAAAATATGGTGCCGTAACAACTATGTGATGTGGATATTTTCTATTGGTGGATTATTTTGCAATTAGTTTATTAGTGAATATTGACTTAAAGATGTGGAGTATATTAGAAAAATACATATTTTGCATTAAATGATAATAGTTTACAATTGTGCTATGTATTTAATATTAAAATAAGATTTGAAACATAATGTTTACTTTCCTACTATTAACATATCTTATCGTTTCGGTTAACAACCAAGACCTGAAAGGATTCGATGATACAATTTTGTATAAATTAGAATGGCCAGGAAGAACTGACGAATTTTTAGTATGATACATTACAATAACATGATAAATATTGCGATACAATTAAATAAATCTAAATTTATCACTAGGAACCTCCAGGTAGTGAGTCTATGTTCATCACAACAGCTGATAAAGAACGATATCAATGTTTTGTTCCTAAAATCTCAACACCAGAGTCTGAAAAAAATTTACCATATAGTGGACCAACTGCGTTAGAATTATTGGCACCTTTATTCACACAAACTGCTTGTTCATATCGTGTTGAAAGCTATTGGACATATAAGCTTTGCCATGGGCGGTATGTGCAACAATATCATGAAGAACGAGAAGGTAAATTTTTGAATAGATTTATTAAAGTTAAATTATTAATTGAGCACGGTTGTCATACAATAATTGAGGAAATGTATTTTCTTATAGCCAGCGTGGATATTAGCAATTTCCATTTCACTTTATTTATGCATGACATTCATTATTATGACAATCTATATAGCGTTTTCAAGGAAAAGTTTAATAAATGTAATTTTTTCAGACCTAACTCAACTAAAACTAAGAACTAATCTCTATTATTGTTTAAATAACAACCATAAAATTCAAAATTATTGAAATTTTCATAAAAAATTATCATAATTCAAAAATGTGTGATATATAATTAATTATTATGTGCTCATTTATTCCTCTGTTATAATTTTTCTTGTGGAATTTATCAGGGAAAAAGGTGAAAACTCAAGAATACTTTTTGGGAAAGTGGTCTGCTGAAAGGCATGATGAATTATTGGCTGAAATTTCAAAAGCAGAAAAAAGCTCAGAACCTTTGCGAACCACAAAAATTGAATCAGTCAGTTTGCCTTTTGTAGAAGTAGTTATGACAGAAGGTTTGTTGTATAAATTCTGATTTTTAAATGTAATAAATAAGTTTTCAATGTAATTTAAATTTCAGGTACTTTATGTGATTTAAATAATAAAAAACGAGTTACAAGAGTTCTGTATGTTTGTTATGCAAATGGAAAACATGAAATATATTCACTAAAAGAAATTTCGACATGTGAATATGAGGTAAAATTGAACATTCTATATTTGATTCTTCAACAGAAGTATACATTTATATTTTATGATGTTAATTGCAGATAGTAGTATTAAGTGCTCTTTTATGTGAACATCCACGGTATAAACCTGCAGATTCTGGTGAATTACCTATCAGTTGTTTACCCGTTGAAGGTTCTGGTCGCAAACCCCAAAGTTTAGTAAAAATGGAGTTTGATTCGCTTAAACGTAGAAATCAACATATAATTGGAGTAAGTTAATACTTTGATAAATAGTATTTATTTAATTGCTTTTTTTTAATCATAACAACTATCAGATTAGTATGAGGGTGCACAGTATTAATAAATAATTTTGAATTGAACTATTTTTTAGGAAATAGTAATTTGCTTTAACTTGTAATTCAAACTGACATGAAATTTTTATTAACTATTCTGATAGTTTCAATAATTTTTAACAATATTTTATTTCACATTACAATAATTTATAATGCCTGACCATTAAAAGATTATTATCGGATGGCATTTTTGCTTTTTTTATGAATATATTGGTAGTTTGCATGCAGTAAATTGATTGCTTTGAAGTTAATTTGTTTTTATTAAATACAATCACATATATTATGATTATTTTAAATCCCTTCAATCCCATTTTATATTATTTTCAATCTAATAATCATCATCATTCATAGCACAATCAATACATATTCCTTTTAATTAAAGCATATCATTTTTATTCATTTGGTAATAATTTCACAGTTTCCATAATATGATTCACAAACAATTTAGCTGCACGATTTTAACTAACCAAATTTGATCAGTATTTAGTATTTGTATTTTTGTTGAGTGTGGCTTTATCATTGTATCCTTTATTGAACTGAATTATTATTTATTCATACTTATGTTTTTAAATTTTTACTCAATCTTGTAAAGCTTGTAGTTTGCATGTTTTGCAGATATTGATTACACATTATTGGTTTCAGCTTCTCGGTCTTACTACACACAATTTTAATTTTCAATTATATTTTGGGAATCATTTGTACACCTGTTAATTATTTTTTAAGTATATTTTCATTTGATTTATTTTGTATTTAAGGAAAGGAAATCAGCCAAAGATGTCGTGGCAGTTTTTAAAGTTGAAAAACTTCAGGTCTGTAGTAAATTTAATTTTTTAATCAATGTAAATATAAATGACAATAACTGTGGGGAATTTTTAAAAAATAATGCAAAATTGTTGAAAATTTTATTAAGTCAGTTTAGGAACAATCCAAATTGGGTAATATTATTTTAAATTCGATTGTTTATAGATTTTAATTTTTTTATAATTTGAAATTTGCTGTATTGCATGTGCATGATTTGCGATTCAGTAATTTGCTATTTGCGGTGTATTAGAATTAATTCTAGTAATGCTATTGCAAATATCATTAAACATAACAAATGTATTTAGAAAGTCTTTGCTTATTATAGATTTTCAATTTTAAGCATTCTTAACATTTTAAATGTACTATATATTATTCACTATTGATAGTAAATAAAATATATCATATAATAAATAAATATAAAATTTATATACAATTTGTTTTTATTGAAGGATGGGGAATCACGTGTACGAGTTGAAATTCACCCAGTTGACAATGCTGATAAACCGGATCCAACTTCTGCCTTACCATCGACATTTGATCACCAAGAGGGTCCTGGTGATACATCACCGGTGGATGCTTTTCTATCAGGACAAAATTGCCTTACTGGGGTAAAGTTTAAAAGATTATATTACCTTTTTATCAACATGCAATAATTTATACATTTTTAGTTGAAAATTAGGTAGTTTTTATCGGAATAATCAATTTACTAATAGTTTTTATTTTTTCGATGTTTAAGAAAAATTATGTGTATGTGTTTATGATAGTTAAAATTTGATCCTATCAAAGTTTTATAACAATTTGAAAGATTAATTTCATATCAGATAGATCACTTATTTTCTAGCATTTTGTTATTTTTAGGGCTCTGGTTGGTGGAAATATGAATTTTGTTATGGTCGGCATGTAGAGCAATATCATATTGAGAGTGATGGTAGAAGAACTTCTTTACTTCTTGGCAAATTTGACAAAGATGCTCACTTGAAATGGTTGAAAAAGCATCCTAATAAGAAACCTGCTGCTCCTGGTAATAGAAATTATATAATTGTTTAAATTTTTATACTTTTCATGTTTCACATATTTCAGGCCATCGCAATCATTTATCACATTTTTACTCAGAAGGAAGTTACTGTGAAAAAATTGGTAAAAGACGCCAAACTGAAGTTAAATTAAAATGCTTGGAGAACTCTTCAAGTCCCAGCGCTGTTTCGTTATATTTATTAGAACCAAAAACCTGTGAATACATAGTGGGTGTGGAATCCCCACTAATCTGCAATATTCTTCAGAAGGCTGATGAAAATGGCTTGTTTATTAAAGAAGATAAAGTTAGTGATATACTTATTGAAAAAGATGATAATGATAAAGTAGAAACTAAAGGTAATTTAATTGGTGATTTGGATGTAAGATTTGAAAATGATTAATATATTATGAGGTATGTACATAATTTTAAGTAAATAAATTACAATTATTTAATTTTGTTTAATATTTTTCCTTTATAGGTACAATAATTCTATTTGAATGTTCTTTTTACGTCACAAATGAAATTTGTATTATAAATCAAGAATTTGTCATAAAGCGTGACACAAATAAAATTTGCACTTTAGTTTCTTGTACTCTGAATCACAAACAATGACATTACAAAATATGAATTTGTCAGCTGCAAAATACTTTGATAGCTTTTGGAATAAGCGTTACTCTAATAGGTTTCACTTCATATTCTTCATTATCTATTGCAAACCAAACCGGTTTCTCTTCAGAAGAAATGGTTTCTGGTATTAGTTCAAGCATACGTGCATCTAACTTTTCCACAACATTACTTTTGTCTCCCTTTATTCTTTTCCAGCCTTCAGAAACAAAATCTCCATAGGTTATTTTGTCCGGGCCTAATTTTACTCTTAATGATGGTGTTCCATCAGCTTCTATTTGGGAAGTTGTTAGTTGGAAGTCGAGAGTTTCTATTGTTTTTTCATGCACTTGAACACAATCTTCATTATAAATTTTGCTGTAGTCAATTTCATCAAGTGGTTTCTTTTCTGTTACTTTGGGCAAAATTCGTGTCCACCATGACGAATGTTGAACAGTTGGTTTTTTCTTTTGAACACAATTTTGGCAACCGGAACAAGGATCACTATATGATAGTAGAGCTTTACAACTCCAGGTTAAGGTATCTTTGTAGCCATTAAATAGGAATGTTACGTATTCCCTTAAAGGACCATAGTACCAATATTTATCCCTGTTTGATATAGCATCACGAAATGCTCCCCATTGTAAACTGCCTACTGCATATACTGGCTTTGCTGCAAAATAATAACAACTCATAATAGTTCTAGATAAAAAATCACAACTCATAATAGTTTTAAATACCTTCTTTGGTTATCTCTTCTTCAGAATTTACTTGGTCAGCAAGTAGTTTTATTTGCATTACGTCTCTGTAAGTCTCTTTTCCTTGTAAGACAGCCATGGCAGATTTTGCTAAAGCAGAAACTCGTTTTATCCCACTTTCAGACGCTCCAGGAAACATTTCGGATCCCACATTACTACATCTGCCTAATGGCAAAACCCCAATGGGACAAGTTGCACCATCTGGTCGGCGTAACATTCCTGTTGAAGATAAATAAAATTTTATTAACAGGATAAATTGAAATATATTCATGATGGGGTTATTATTTTATTTTTCACCTGTAACAGTTTCAGCTAATGTTCCATCACCTCCAGCAACAAGTAAAGCGTCTGGTAATGTAGGCATTTCTTCTATAATTTTTCTAGCACTTCCTTCTGCAGTTGTACTTATAATGTTTACAGAAAACCCACCCAAATGCAAAATTGGCTCACAATATTTTTTAAAATGATCATTTGCTGATCTTTTGTTTGCCGCTGGATTTAGTACAACTGTGACACTTTTGGGCAGGGTTGATGCTGCAATAGGCAAATCTCCATATTTTATTGCCTCCTGACAATACTTTCGCATTAAGCAATTGATTCTGAAATTACAATTTCAATTTTTAGAGACATAATACTTTGAAGGTTGCAATAATTTTAGGTTAATTTTAGTTTTTTACATACTTATATTTTTCGTTTCCATACGATATTCCATAAGAAACAGCAAGAGCAGCAAATACTGATTTTTTCCAATTATTTCGTATTGTTTTTGCAAATTTTATTACTGATGACATTTTTAATTGTCAAATTTGTCATTTATGTAGTTTGCATTTTTGAGGTTATAAATTTGATTTAATTCGTGGACGACTTTCATCTGTCAGTGACACCAACATTAACATACAAAATTATACGACTGCAAACAATAACTGCAATTTTAAATTTAAAAATATTTTGGACAATGTTAGATATTAATTAAAAAACAATAGTTGAGTTTATATACTAATTATGAAGATAATTATTTTAATTTTTTCAATTCATATTCAAAATCCGCAGAACACATTGTAAAAACGCTACGTCTGAATAAGTATAAACTATGATAAAATTTTGTTAAATCAAAGTGAAAGCGAAAGAAATAGGCTTATAAAGTGTTGAAGTTTAAACCATTTTTCAAATTTTATTTATTTAAATCCATGAGGTTGTAAATGGGGCCATAATGGGGCCATAATTTATACTTGTTTATCTATGATAATGGGTCTGTAATAACCTGGAAGGTTTTAAATGGGTCTGTCTAAGATTTAACCATACGTACACTCCGTTTCACCTGTGAAGAATTGGGATCAATGCCGATCTTAATTGCTATTGCTTGGGTGGAGCGACTAGGGCGGATGCAGAGCACGCTATTATGGAATGCAAAAAATGGGAATTGGCAAGAACTATGGAGGGAGATAGTAAGGCAAAAAATCTCCTTACGCACTAATTTTATAACATTGTTGACGAAAAAAGAATATATAGCGCGCTATATATTTATATACAAGCTAATAAAATAAATTGTAAAGCTAACTTATAAAATGTATATGTTTAATGTACGTGTATATACAAAGTCATAAGATAAAAAAAATGGGTGTGCACTGTGACAGGTTTGACGTTGTATGGGTATTATACAATATATTTTTTTTTTTTGATATGCGAAAAGTTGCGGGGAGTATCATCAAACTGATTCATCGGATTTTTGTTCCACATATTTATGAGGATTATAATTGCTCGAGTAATTACTCATAGATCAATGATCAAATCTTTGCTCAAAATTTTTAAAATAGTTTTTTTTTTTTTTGAGAAATGCGAAAAGTTGAGGAGTATCATCAAACTGCTCATAGAGTTGCTAAGTTCGGATTGATGTTAAAAATAATTAAAGTTATCTGTAGCACTTTAAATATCAATACAAAATATTCACGTTGCTTCTAACTGTTATTGAATCAGAATTTCTGCTAGTCAATTTTTGTTTTACGAAAATAGAATCAAGTCAATTTTATTGAATAATTACTCTATTTTTTATTCTCTGAATAATAGAAACCAAAAAGGACTTTAACGTTCGTGCGACTATCTTACATATTTAATTGTGTTTTAGTTAAATTGCTTCATTTGCCAAACTTTATCAAGGGTGTACTTGTTCCAAAAAACTTTAGGTAATTTTATATATTTATAAAGGCTATGATGTCATTTTGTAGCAAATATAAGTACAGAACCATCATATTAGTTGTACTAGGTCTTGAACAAGATATCAACTAATAAATCTCAAGAAAATAATTTTTGAAATGAATCCTAAAAGTAATATAATTACTTTTGATACAAGTGCAAAATTAACACAATTTTTAATGAAAAGCATTGGTTTATCTTTGGAAGCATTTGCATCAGAATTAGAAAAATATGGTAGAAGTTGGTGGAAAATATCTCAAGGAATCTTATTTTTCTTATCATATCTATTGTTGTTTTTAACAGCACTTGGTTAGTATTCGACATAATTTTTTTAATCCAACAATTGGAATATAACATATTTTTTGTATGATTTTAGGTGAAGTGGCATATTTTCGCCAGTCTTTGATTAATTATAAAGGATTTTTAGATGTTACAGCCGTTGCTCCATGCATTGGATTCTGCTTTTTGAGTTTAATAAAAATGTTGACAGTATCGTTTAATTCTAAAAAATTATCTCAAATGTACACTGAATTGAGAAATATGTATCCTAAAGACAGTGAAGATGATATAGTGGTTGAAAGTGAGAGAAATAATTATAAATAAAAAAAGCTTTTATTTTTTGCAAAACAAATACAAATTTTGATCGTATTTTATATCCTTATTTCAGGTATGAAAAAGTCACATAAAAATATGCTCCAATTTGTTATACCAAATGTAATTTTTATGCTGTGCTTCAATTCGATTCCCTTGATTATGATGTCTGCACAATACTTTAAAGGCCAAGAAATAACACTTTCTTTGCCGTACCTTATTTGGTATCCAATAGACGTTTATGTTATGCCTTTGTATATTTTTATATATGCATTTCAAGTTTGGGCTAGCATCGTTGCAATTGGCGGTAAGTGATCATGATTTTGGAAATTTTGTTAAATTTTTTCAGCGTAACAAAATCGTAACAGTTACGTTATCGCGCAAGGTATCTGCCCGTTGCGTTTTTGAAGCAAAAGTATAAAATTAAATATTACTTTTTAGGCATTTTAGCTGCTGATTGTCCATTTTCCCTATATACTGCACATGTTTGCATGCATTTCCGTCTACTAGCACAAAAAATGCGAACATTGACTTCCAAAAGTGAGCATAGATTGTTGGATCTACAAGAACTTCGCCCTTGTATAGAAGAACATCAAAAATTAATCGAGTAATACGTATATTTATTTTATCTCTATTTATTTAGTATATTATGAGTAAAATTTAATCCTAGAAATTTAAATTTCAGGTTTTCTATTCAAATTGAAAATATTTTTAGTCCTTCTATATTGGTAAATTTTATTGGAAGTTCGATTATGATTTGTCTTTCAGGATTCCAAATTACGGTAAGTCTCATTTTTATTATAACATTTTTTATAATTATTTTTTAAATGCTATTGTGATTATCACTTTATTTAGGCTGGCGTCACAATTGACGAGTTAATATCATACATAATATTTTTAACAACATCGCTTCTGCAGATTTACACGCTTTGCTCATATGGAAATCAACTAATCGATACGGTAAGCTCTTATCAACATTATTTATTTATTTAAAAAGAATTTAATTTTGTAGAAAAATAGTTTTATAATTGAACCATTCGATCTCGGTAATTAATGTATTCTAATCGTTATATCATATTTTATGTAGAAACATTTTAATATAAAGATTTTAATATGAGAAGTTTGTTTTTTTCCAAAAAGCCGTCCAGTTAATAGTGTTTTCTTTGCCTTTCGGTCATTCTGATTTGTTTGAACCCAAAATTGGAAAATGTATGTATGTGAGCCGATTTTTAATCTTTCATAGACGTTTTCTCAAAAACGGTTGAATCAATTTCAAAAATTTAAAAGCCATTCGATGAAACTCGATAAAAACTCGCGTTCGTTTTACAAGACGATCAGCCGAGTCATTGCTTCAGAAATAGTTTAATAATTACGTTTTTGCAACAAATTCTGAACCGAATAAATAACGTTTGAAAGAAATTAATCATTGATCAGCTTTTGGCAAAGGTCGGCCGTATCGTTTCTTGAATGAAGTTTAACATGGTGATATTGTTTGAGCTATGAAGTTAACTATTATTATAATATATTAGAGGCCTATAAGAACTGATTTTATTATAAAAATCCGTTAAATTTAGTTATAATGGGATACGTTTTTATGACAAACAAGCGCATATGTTTAATCATTAACTTCCCGTAGGGCAAGTTATAGTAATCGCAAAAAAATCGAAAATGAAAATTTTTATATATCTTTACGTTTCAAAGGTTTCTGAACATTTTGGCATACCTTAGAAAAAATGGATGTATGTGTGTGTGTGTGTGTGTGTGTGTGTATGTATGTATGTGCGTGTGTGTATGTATGTGCGGATACAAATTTTCGTCGACGATTTCGGTAACACGGATCAACCGATTTGAATAATTCAAAAAACATTCGATTCGTATTGATAAGGAGACGTGCTGATTAGTTTTTGGCGAAGGCAGGTCTAGCCGTTCCGAAGATACGGGGCAAAAAGTGCCGAAAACGGTAACTCAGTTTTTAAGAGAACGGAGCGTCCGATTTGAATAATTCAGAAGACATTTCACTTGTATTGACAAGATGAAGAATCGATAAAATTTTCATGAAGGTAGGTCTAGCGGTTTCGGAGATATGGAGGAAAAAGTAAAAAAATGAGCCATTTGGCGGTCAAAAATGATCATTAGACATATGCACATCAAATTATCAGATATTTTATAGAGATTTTAACAATAAGTATACATTTGTTAACATTTCTATGGGTTCCGTACCAATGCTTATGCGTTAGACAGCGACGCGGCGCTTACGCGCTTTATATTTTGTCCCTATGCAGTTAAAGCAGTACGATTGCTTTGAAAAAAAGTTCAGATCTTCTACAATATGTCAAAATAAAGAAAAAAAATTTTTGTTTCAAAAAAAAAAAAAAAATTAAAAAAAATGTTTTTTTAAAAAAAATTTTTTTTTCAAAAAAAAATTATTTTTTGTCCAATTTATAGTTTCTCAAAAATCTTATTCTTTCAAAGTAATTTTTTTTCAAAAATGTTAATTGTTTTTAAAATAATAATAATTTTTGGTACGGGAAGTTCCAGCAATTTGCCTTAAGGCACGATGCCTTAATTGCCTTAAGACAGAATTCCACTTACAGCTAGTTAATAAATAATATTAAATTAGAGTAGCGAAATTGCTTGGGCTGCATATGATTCACCATGGACTGATGCTAGTATGGAGTATAAAAAATCTTTGCAATTCATGATATTAAGAGCACAACGTCAGCAGACTTACACGGCGATGAAATTTTCTACTGTATCATTTGAGAGTTTTGGAGCAGTAAGTTCCCAATATATTTATTTATTAATTATTAACAATTCAACATTTATATTATTTCCAGGTTCTGAAAGCTTCCTTTTCTTATTTTACTCTTCTGCGAACGGTTTTCAGCAAAGATTAGAAAATGGAAATATTTTATTTTATTAGCGGGTTTGCGCTAATTTTTGTACCTTGCTGAAACTTTTTTACTGTCCGTGAAAGTGTTAATATATTGTAGTCAAAATAATATACTAATATTCTATTATTGCTGTTCGTAGATTTTACGAGTTAATTATGTACTACTATTATACTATTATAGTAAGCAATAATAATAAACCATTTAATACTATATTTTTGGCATCTTATTTAGAAATCATAATTTCCTATTAGCATCTTAACTAACTCAAAATTATATGTACATTTTTGGGATTCAAATTTTTCGGTTGAAATATATTTAAAAATATATTGGCAATCGAAACATTTTGAAAAATTTGAGACAATCTCGGACAAATATTGCTTTTAGAAAAAGCCGGCAGAAAATCGGGACTATCCCGGGCAATCCTGGCGTATGGTCACCTTACTATTATCGCAAACTTATTGATTTTATATATTTGAAAATTTCATAAATATTTTTTTAATTACTTCAATTATATAGTATTAAAAAAACGTAACAAGGATTTCGATATAACTTAAAAAGTTTATAAATATTTTATGACTTATACAAACGTTACTTTTCAAGTAATTCGAACTTATTAAAAGTTATAATTACTTTCTTTTTTCAATTAAAGTTAATTTTATAAGTCACAACAAAAGAAAACACTAAATAATTAACTTCCCGTAGGGTAGTTATAGTAATGGGCCGAAAATCGAAAATGAAAATTTTTGCATATCTTCACGTTTTGAAGGTTTCTGAACATTTTGGCATACCTCAGAAAAAATTGATGTGTTCGTGTGTTATGTATGTCTGCATTTTTTCCTCCACGTTTTGGAGCGCACGGATCAACCGATTTGAATGGTTCAAAAACCTTCCATTCCTATAGGGTGATGTGCTCATTAGTTTTTGGCAAAGGTTGGTCCAGCCGTTACGGAGATACGGAGCAAAGAGTGCATGAAATACAAATCGAGTTTTTGATAGAACGGAGTAACCGATTTGAATGATCTAAAAAAACATTCAATTTGTAATGATTAGGAGAAGAGGTGATTAGTTTTTGGCAGAGGCAGGTCTAGCCATTTTGAGGATACAAAACTAAATGTGCAAAAAATGACAGTTTTTGAGAGATTTAAGCGTCCCATTTGAATGATTCAAAAAACTTTCTGGTTGTTTTAACAAAATAATTGCTTTTGGGGAAAAAAATTGTTTCAATTTCTTTTTTCAAAAAAATTTTTTTTGTATATCGAAAATGGGTTAGATTTTATTTTTAATTCTGACTAAAGTTCAAATATACTTTAAATAAATAATTTCAACTTTGCCATTGAGTTTATATAATTCGTATAAATATTAGACGATGTTACAATATTTATAATAATTTATTTGAAAATATTTGATATTCCTTGAACATTTCATTACGGTGCGGAAAGTTCCAGCAATTTGCCTAGTTTAAAAAATTGTATCTTTTAATAAGACATTAGACTCGTGAGAAAATGAATAGAATGAGTCAGATTTCAAACAATTTAAACTTTAGGTAATTAATATATTTATGAAGGTCATTTATGATGCCATTTCATAGCAAATATAAGTACAGGACAATCATAAAATTGTTGTACTAGGTCTTGAGAAAGGTATCAACTGATAAATCTAAAGAAATTTTTTTTTAAATGAATCCTAAAAATAATATTACTTTCGATACAAGTGCAAAATTAACACAATTTTTAATGAAATGTATTGGCTTATCTTTGGAAGCATTCACACCAGAATTAGAGAAAAATAGAAGTAGAAGTTGGTGGAAAATATCTCAAGGAACCTTATTTTTCTTATCATATCTGTTATTGTTTTTAACAGCACTTGGTTAGTATTCGACATAATTTTTTTTTAATACATCAATTGTGATATAACATTATATTTTTTGTTTGATTTTAGGTGAAGCGGCATATTTTCGCCAGTCTTTGATCAATTATAAAGGATTTTTGGATGTTACAGCCGTTGCACCATGCATTGGATTCTGCTTTTTGAGTTTAATAAAGATGTTGACAGTATCATTTAATTCTAAAACATTATCTCGAATGCACACTGAATTGAGAAATATGTTTCCTAACGGATGATAAATGATATAGTTGTTGAAAGTCAGTAAAATAATTTTAAATAAAAAAGATTTCATTTTTGGATATAAGCTATAATATTTAGAAATTTGACAATTTTTTTTAACTTATATCCTTATTTCAGGTATGAAAAAGTCACATAAAAATATGCTCCAATTTGTTATACCAAACATGATTTTCATGCTGTGTTTCAATTCGATTCCTTTGATTATGATGTCTGCACAATACTTTAAAGGCCAAGAAATAACACTTTCTCTGCCGTATCTAATTTGGTATCCAATAGACGTTTATGTTATGCCTTTGTACATTTTTATATATGCATTTCAAGTTTGGGCTAGCATCGTTGCAATTGGCGGTTAGTGATGGTATCTCCAGATTAAATAATATTGTGGCGGGAGTATAAATTTAAATATTACTTTTTAGGCATTTTAGCTGCTGATTGTCCATTTTCCCTATATACTGCACATGTTTGCATGCATTTCCGTCTACTAGCACAAAAAATGCGAACATTGACTTCCAAAAGTGAGCATAGATTGTTGGATCTAGAAGATCTTCGCCCTTGTATAGAAGAACATCAAAAATTAATCGAGTAATACGTATACTCTAATTATGTGTAAAATTTAATTCTAGAAAATTTGATTTTCAGGTTTTCTATTCAAATTGAGAATATTTTTAGCCCTTCTATATTAGTAAACTTTATTGGAAGTTCGCTTATGATTTGTCTTTCAGGATTCCAAATTACGGAAAGTTTGATTGTTATTATAACATTTTTATTATTATTTTATAAATGCTAATGTGATTATCATTTTATTTAGGCTGGCGTCACAATTGACGAGTTAATAACATACATAATATTTTTAACAACATCGCTACTGCAGATTTACACTCTTTGCTCATATGGAAATCAACTAATCGATACGGTAAGCTCTTATCAACATTATTTATTTAAAAAGAATTTAATTTTGTAGAAAAATAGTTTTATTATTGAACCAGTTGTTCACGATAATTTCTATAACGTTTTATGTAGTATATATAATTTTATCTGAGTCGTTATATTTATGCAAGTAAAAAATTAAAATATGAACAGGCTGATTGTATAACTTCCCAAAAGTTTATGATTAGCCCAGGAAATCCGGCTTGTTAATATTATGGTTTTTCGACCTCTCAAGTCATTTTGATTAGTTTGAGCTCAAAATTAGAAAATGTATGTGTGTGTTTGTATGTGAGCCAATATTTGATCTTTCATGGACGTTTCCTCAAAAACGGTTGAATCAATTTCAAAACTTTAAAAGCCATTCGATGATCAATTTCAAGACGATCAGCCGATAATTCCGTTTTTGAGAAAACGGAGTACACGATTTGAATGATTCAAAACAAATTACTTGCATTGACAAATGAAGAATTGATGAAATTATTGGTAAGGCAGGTCTAGCGGTTTCGAAGATATAGAGGAAAAAGTAAAAAAAAAGAAAAATCAAATTATCGGATATTTGATTTAATTTTTATAAATGAGTACTAAATTTATTACAATCTTGTTGGGTTCCTGTTAGCGAAATATTTACAATAGGGCATATATTATTATTATTATTATTATTATATAATATTAGTTAATATTATAATAATCAGTCATTGAACATCATGTGTCAAAAACATTTGACATTTGACGTATGAGCTGCCGTTCATTGTTTTATTTAAATTACGCTTACGATTAGCACCAAGTTTTCAAGACTAAGACTGGCCAAATCTATACAGCCATTTTAACGTTTTACCAAACATTTAGTCGAGCTCTTTTTATATATAAGATAATATTAATAATTAATATTAAATTAGAGTGGCGAAATTGCATGGGCTGCATATGATTCACCATGGACTGATGCTAGTATGAAATATAAAAAATCATTACAATTTATTATACTAAGAGCACAACGTCAGCAAACTTACACGGCGATGAAATTTTCTACAGTATCATTCGAGAGTTTTGCATCAGTAAGTTTCCAATATATTTAATTATTAATTATCAATTCAAATTAATATTATTTCCAGGTTCTGAAAGCATCCTTTTCTTATTTTACTCTTCTGCGAACGGTTTTCAGCAAAGATTAGAAAATGCTCTCATAAAATATTTTATTTCAAATTAGCGGGTTAGCGTCAATTTTTGTGTTTTACTGTCCGCGAGCGTGATAATATATTTTTGTCAAAATAATATACTAATAATCTATTATTGCTGTTCGTAGATTTCAAGAGTTAATTAAGCACTAATATTATAGTA